ACACATTCGACGTAAGTTAGCATTGGAGCAGCATTGTTAGCCATGAACTTCTTGACAAGCTAGCAAGAGAGTTAATCATCACTTAAAGCTTTGTTGTCGAAATGGTTGGTACATTAGTACAAAGAAGGCAAAAAGCACTCCATTGTACTAATAGTTAGAGAATATAACCTGCATATAGCAATATATTTTCCACATTGTTGTACATTTGTACAAAAGTACATAATCTCCTTGTCAAAGTCCAATTCTTGCTATTTGATTGATCCCTTTGGTTACAAAATACCTACTCAACAAGTAGAGACTCAAAGAAACATTGACAGGGGATGTGGATTTGTACAATAGAGATGCAATGAAACTTGTGCTAAAGAGATTGTTTGATCATATAAGACTTGGTCTAAAGACTGATAATCTCTTTGATTCTCTTAATTCTCTCCGGACAAGCTTCAAGATCTCGATAATCTGCAAGAGATAAATATCAAAGAGTCTAATGAAAACGAGCTTGGGTATCAGAAAGCAAGCTATACAATGCAAGCTTGATGTAAAACTATAAGAGATTTTGTGGATAGAGGAATGCTTACACCAGGGTAATGATTGAGTATTAGAGAGTAATGATCAAGGGCAATGTATATTTTTGCAAGAAGGTCCAAGAGAGATTCGATTTCATCGCCAAGGAGATCAACCTATGATTCAAGCAGCAGATGAAAAAGATTGTCATGCTACCAAATGGTCAAGGAAAGCAAACAACACAAAGGCGAGGCAGCTTCGAGAGAACATATGATTAAACTGAGCTAACAGAAGCTTCAAACTCATCTATGTGAATTGTGAAGATAGAGGAAAATAGAGAGTAACCTCAGTTTCAGCCTTGTGGAGATCGCAAGTCTTCTTCTCCATTTGTTGCTTGTACATCGATTCTCTCGCCTTGAGTTCATCTACAAGATCACTTAATTGGCTCTGCATACTTTCCAACCTACAAGTCAAGAAATGTCATATGCATAGACAACTCATATGTCTATGTCGAACGAAAACATTATAAGCAAACATAGATTGAGAGTGTTACCTAGAATTTGTATTTTTCATCTTTTCTGCTAGTACACATTCAAGATAGTCGAAACCTTGGCTCCATGTAGCAAGACTCAGAAACGTCGATACAAACTGATGCTTAAGCCTCTTTTTTTTTTTGATAAAATGTGAATATTATTACCAAAAGGAAAGTCAAATCCAAAAGCTAATAAGCCTAAAACTTCTTTGGCCCAAAAAAAAAAGAGTAAAAAACCAAGAGGAAGTTAACCAAAAGCGACAAAGCAGATCATTCAATTAGCTAAACCTAGACCATTGAAGAAGAAGATTACTACATCCCTTGCGCCAGCGTCTTGCTAGGAGAGTATCTTGGATTGATCTATCAATTTGCCTGAAAATGCAGTCTGCAGTGAGAGAGGTGTTGTTATGGAACCTACTATTTCGTTCTCTCCATAACCCATAGATGGTGCCTTGGGCAGCAATTCTCTTTAGAAGAGTTTACTTACGGTTACCTGAACTAGCAAGTAACCAAAATATCAAATTTTCCCATGAGAGAAAGAAATTCAGATATAAACCCAATCGATGGAGAACCTTTCCCCAAATGAGAACA